TTTCCCATGGTCTGCCACGTGGGAGTCCCACGCCTCCAACCACCATGCCACTTGCCAGCCCCCCTAGAACATTTTTTAATTGAACAATTAAAATCTTACCTTCTGTGTACTTGTGTGTTATCTTAGTTGCCTCCCCGCCCCCTGGAGAGGGGGTGGGCCCAGGCCTGGTCAGAAGCTCTGCAGCAATTGGTGGAAGGGCAAGCCGCTCCCATTCCCCTTGCCTGGCACCCTGCACACAGCGAACCTGGACGCACTCTTGTCCAGTGACATGTGGCCGCAGAGAGGCGTCCACCGGAGGAAAGGTGCTTCATCCCCACCCATCCCCCACTAACCCTCTGCTCTCTGGGCACCAGCTTGTCGCGCTTGCTCTTAATTACGACTCTGCTCCTGTGCGACTTTGGACTTATCTCTAGAGCAAGCTTCCTTTCTGAAAAGTGGGTTCATAATCCCCGCTTTCTTTAAGGTCATTGGGAAGCTCCAACAAGATCAAGCAGGCACCCTGTGAAAGTCGAGTGTCAGGCGGGACCTGAATGTTCACTTCTGGACAGTGGAAGAGACCGCAGCCGAAGGGGCAGCCAGTTCATCACTAGGAAACGAGCTGCTCTGAGCCTGTGAGGAAATAAAAGTTTCATAATCACACTCTCGACCAAAGGTCCAAAGGGGCCCTTGGGCTTGATGAAACTTTCACACACCAAAAAGCTGTAGAAATTATTTCCCCTAGGGCGGACCTCCTAACCTCGTGCTTAAGGGAACCTAAATCCTACATGGTCTACATTTGGTTCAAATTGTGGCCCGGAGACTTGAAAAACATGCCAGTTGTGTGTGCTTTGTGTGCCTAAGATCCTGACCCCATGGAGAAATGGAGAAGGGAAATGGGGGCTGCTTTCTCCCTCACCTTCCCTCTCTCTCTGTCCCTATCTCTGGCAAGTGCACACGACTTCTGGCCATTTAAAAGAAAAATTATTTCCTGACTTAAAAAGTTGTTTTTCTTATGAAGGCAATGCCTATTATAGAATTCATTTTAGAACCTTCTGAAATTAAAAAGGCACAAGGAAAGGGAGAAGCTCCTCTGACCACACTACACGCTCCCCTTGCAGCTGTCAAAGAAACTAAGATTTTGTTGAAACTGCCACTTTGGGTCCTGCTTGGTGAACCTTTTCCGTGTGATTAAGTATTCTTACACAAGGAGGGGATCCGATAAACTAATTGGTCGCTACGTCGTTCATCAATCTCACAGCTGCATGTGGTTTTTGATTTGTTTTGGGGCTGTGGCTGTTACAGATGCTGCAATTACCACCTCTTACACAGATCTTGACAAATGCCCTTGACCGTGTCCCTTGAAAGCCTGGCAGTGGGATGTGCTGGGGCAGTGTACTTTGACACTTGTTGCCAGTTTGTCTTATAAGAGATTTACCCGTTTACACTTCCACGGGCAACTGCATAGGACCTCGCTGGAGTTCCTGCGTCATTAACCCAAACGCAGAGCTAGAGCCCCCAGCCCCGGCCTTCCCCTTCCCCGCCCGCCCCGCGCCCCCGCCGCAGTACCGGAGCACTCCGCGCCCCTCGGCCCAGGCCGGCCCGCCCCTTCCTTATCCCGCACCGATTCTGTCCAATCAGAAGCAGCCTTTCTCGGCATTGCCGCGCGGTTGGTAAGTTGAAATGTCCGTCGCGCACGGGGCGGGCGAAGCTAGCTGACGGACACGGCGACGGGCCAATGTGGGCGGCGAGCGGGGTGTGCGTGGCGTGCGTGGAGCGCTGTCCTGGAAGCGCTGGACCTGTGGGCGGTGTGGACTGGTGGCGGTGAAAGGTTTTGGCGGATATGGCTCCCAACGCGCCAGCGCCCGAACCCGGGTATCCTAAAGGCATCCGGGCGGTGCTGCTGGGGCCGCCCGGAGCAGGCAAGGGGGCGCAGGGGGG